AACCTTGCATTGCGAGGATATTGAATATGCATTCATATTAAAAGTGATTTTTTTTAATATAAAAAAAATCGCACACCCCGCAACCACACCACCTCTGTGTTGTTTATACTGCACAGAAGTTCCCCATGTCCCTCTGTTGAATTGCTTGTGTTTAAGGAGTTCGTGTGCTTCCTTTCACGTGGAATCACCTTTTTTTCGTTGTGAGAGGAAATGTTTGATTGAAATGATATGTCACTTTTAAACGCTCTGATAGATTTCCGTTTATCGAATCGATCGGAGGAGAGATCAATCGGATAACGGCGGTGTTCTACATAGGGGAACACCTCGTCTATATTACTCGATTATAGATCTTTTAACGATTTGCGAGTGTAAGAATTTAATTTGTTTACTTTCAGGCTGATCGGAACATCCAAAATGCGGCTTGTCAGATAGATATATTTTTAAAGCCTTAAAGGACTCATAACGATAAAGAGAAATATAAGGTAATACCTTCAATGTAAAGTGATAACACGCTCTAATTTCTCCCTTTGCCCCCCCCTGCTATAAGTGGGGCGCGTTTGAGTGCAATCATTGGTTTCTATGTAAAATCACTGAAATATAGGCGTGAATTATTTGCGTTATAAAATATGATTGCGGAATATTAAATTAAAGTCAGATAAGTCCGCATTGAGAGAAGGCAGCACTCAGTAGCGAATTTATTTATCGCATTTTTTTCCAGTGGGCCCTGCTGTGCTGGACACTTTGGGGATGGCAATCTTTAAATCCTTGCGAATTTGCAAGCGGTTTTAGTTAGTTTTAACAAGAGGAGTGTCCAAGAAACAAGAAGACCAGGTTGATCGATAAATCTCTGGAGGTAAAAACAAATCTCTTTTGCTCTAAAACTACCCTCTTTTTTGGGGTGGGTGGGTGGGGGGGGGGGAGTGTGTGTGTGTGTGGGGTGTGGGGGTGGGAGGGGGGGATGACACGTACCCCGAACAAAAGTTGGACAATTATTGGAGGTTTGCAAATGTTTTAATCGTTTTGTTTGGTGGCGGTGGGTTTGGTATTTATATATATGTGTGTGTGAGTGTGTGTGTTGGAGAGAGAGGGAGGGGAAGTGGGGTGGTGGTGGGGGGGTGGAGGGGGTTGTTGGTGGTGATGGTGGTGCTTGGATATTTCCACATAGAAAGTGACATTTGTGTTGTTGTAAAGTGATAGGGGAACGGTGTATATATTTCTGTGTTTATAAACAATGGGCCGAACCCGAGAGGACATGATGGTCAGCCTCCTGTCAAACTGCTGACCTTTTAAGCCCCAGAGGGCGCCAGGCATGTTCATCGCATACATTTCCCTTCAACAGAGAGAGAGAGAGAGAAAAAAAGATCTGCCACATTGTGTACAAAATAAATCCCCCTAAAAAATCAAATTACAAAGACCTATAGAATAAAGGATTATTAGACCTGAAGATGAAACGCAGGTAATACATGGAATACTTTTTTTTGGATAAAAAGTATATATATATAGAGAGAGATATATCTATATATCTATATATCTATATATCTATATATCTATATATATATATATATCGCTGTATGTATTTATAAACTCCGAAAACGTGGGCAGATAGATATATAACGGGTTATTTTTTTTTTAGAAAAAGCGTAACAAAATAATGTTAAAGGAATTTCTTTCAGGCGGAATTGGTGGCAATGATATTGTAGTTCGCGGACGAGTAAGAGTGAAATAATTTAAGAAACGTTATTTTGTTCACGAAGCGAGAATCATGCGGATTTGTATGCAATCGTTTCAAGTGTCAATTTATTTAACTTGGAATAATAGTTCGCAAACTAAATAGTTATCATGATTATTATTATTATTATTATTATTTTTGCTGTAATGAATTGCATCAGTTGTGGTGCGATTTCCTTTTTTTTAAAAAAAATAACAGGATCAACCCCAAAAACGCCTGTCAGGTTGAAACGCAGCTCAAAAAAAAATAAGTTTGTTGTTCGAAGTTCAAACCGATCAATATTACTTTATGGTTTTATCTGAAAATCGTTTTGTCTCTCTTTGTATGTAGAGGTATATTTATAAATATTACACACATATATATATTAAAAAAACAGGTTTTATTAATGGGGTTTTGCAAGATCCTATGTGTTTTCCTCTCTTGTCTACTTTCTCATTGTAGATCAGTAATGTGGAGATTGTTATCGGCATTTGAACAAGGTAGTCAGGATTTTTTTAAAAAAAATAGTTTACACAGTGCCTTTGCCAAATAGCCCCCCCCCCCTCCCCAGGGGTGGGGGTGAGGGAGTGAGGGTTATCGAGGTGTCTGGAGCGCGGGTCCCTAACATTTAAGCAGTACTGATGGGTTGGTGTGTGGAGCGATCAGAGTCCCACAGAGAGAGACAGAGTGAGACAGGGGGAGAGACAGAGAGAGAGAGAGAGAGAGAGAGAGAAGGCTTGTGTGATAGACAAGGGGAGAGATCAAGAAGGAGGACTGAGGGCTACTGGCGGCCACCGTACAGAGACCCTGATAGAGACCTCTATGTAGAACAGAATAAAACAGTCAGGAGAGAGAGGGAGAGAGGGGGAGAGACAGAAAGAGAGACAGATAGAGAAAGAGAAAGCATGTGCTTCTGCAGTTCCACTCCATCTCGCCTCTGCCTTATCATATCTTCCCAACCCAGCTCTGAATAAAGTGCCTTCGATTTTCCCCCCAGATAAGTGGTGATCTCCTGATTTTCTCATAACGATTAACATCCTTAGTGTCTTATTCGATAGCGACTATTAAGGGTGAGGGACAGAGAGAACAAAATAAAAGGTAGGGGTTTGCCAGCTGTTCAGACCCTATATCTGAGACAAAAATCAAACTCCCGCGACAGCCCCGCGTTATTTCTGTTCAAATACAATCGAGAGATATAGACACAAACATTAAAATAGAGGGAAAATTGCAATTTAGATTTGCTGTTGCAAAGTCACGTCAGTGGATCAGATATCAACGCAATCAATACAGGTAGTGTTTCATTGAAACGAAGCGATTAGTGTGAAGGAAGACGAGACCCGAGTTTTTTTTTTAACCTGATTTGAAATCTCGGCGTTATTTGCCTCTGTGTTTTAACGTTAATTTCCACGCCCTGTGTTTGTGCGTTTTATTTATTCAAAAAAAAACACAAGTGCAATATTATCATTATTTTCCAATCGTGATCGCAGATTTTATTTGGTGTGTTTGTAGTTCCCCACCACCCCCCCCCCCCCCCCCCACCCCCAAAGAAATCGCAGAACTCATTTTTATTTTCATTTCTCAAATCTTTCCCCTCTTAAAGATTGTTCCCTTTTAAGACTTTTTTTCCACCCCACCCCACCCACAGTTTGACTTTCCGTCCTCGATCTGTTATTAACAACTTCCAAAAATGTTTCTCATTGTGCATTTAACACAGTAGCTCAATTTATATATATTTATATGTATATATACATATATATTTAAAAAATCCCGAAGTGCATCAAACAAGATGCCTCCAAAATTTAGTCGTGGCTATTTTTACGCATTGTTCTTACTTTTTTGTTTCGTTTTTGTGCTTAGGTTTTAGGAGTTTTTCTGATTGTATTAATCACTCCCGTCTTGTAATTGTTTCTCCCCCCCCCCCCGACCACCCCCTCTCTCTCTCCCTCTCCCTCCTTTGCCTTGTGTGTGTGTGTATATATATATATATGTGTGTGTGTGTTAAATCACGGAAATATTTGAACGCTTTCTCCCTTTTCTGTGTGTGTGTGTATGTGTGTGTGTCTTTGTCTTTGTGCCGATGTTGATGCAGGGATAGTGGTAGTGAGTGAGTGAGTGAGTGAGTGTGTGGTGGTGGTGGTGAGGGGTGTGTGTGTGTGAGAGAGAGAGAGAGAGAGAGGGGGTTACGTGGGGGGGTGGGGGGTGGGGGGGAGAGAGAATGGGAGAAAAGGAGGTGGTGGGGGGAAATCTGTGTTAGATAGTGTGTGCACATTATCTGTGTGTGTGTGTGTGTACATGTGTGTGTGTGTCCCTCTCCCTCTGTGTGTGTGTGTGTGTGTGTGTGTGAGAGTGAGACAGTGAGTGAGTGAGTGAGTGAGTGAGAGAGATGAGTGTGTGCGTCTGTGTTGTGTGGGTCGTGTTTACGACTTTCCCGTGACCAGAGCCCCGGGTTTGTCCCCTCTCTCTCTCTCTCTCTCTCCCTCTCTCTCTCTCTCTCCCTCTCTCCCAACTTCAAAGCGTCAAATCCAATCTTTTGAATGTTGATCACCTCACTAATTACACCTTCCCGTCGTGCATCGGTAATGAAGACACATGCGCACTCAACTTAATCAGCCATTTTTTTTACAGGGGCAAAATAATTAGCAGAATAAAGATATATCGGATTTTCATTTCCAGTTTCCCCTTTTCCGTTTGCGGTCGCACGTCGGAGAGAGAGAGAGAGAGAGAGAGAGTTCCTTACACAAGTCACCTCGGCCCACAGGACCACTGTATGTCCCATCTCCTTCTCTATTCCTTGGCAATCTCTCTTTTTTTTTAAATTTTATTATTATTATTATTATTATTATTATTATTATTTATTTCCCTTTCCCTTTTCTTTTTTTTTTGTGCGACTTTTTTTTTTTGGGGGGGGGGGGGGTGTGGGACTTTTTTTTTAATTCTCTTTTTTTGCGGGGGGTGAGGGGTTGTCTTTTCTGGGCTCTTTTCTGTTTTTTTTTGTGGTGGTGGTGGTGGTGGTGGTGGGTTGGTTTCTGGTTTTTTTTGGGGGGTATATTTTATGATTCTTGTGATATAAAAAAAGAGAGGAAGGGAAGGAAAAAAAAAGAAAAAGCAAAAAGAAAAAAAAACAACACAATTCGGGAGGTGGTGGGGTGGGGGGTGGGGGGTGGGGGGTGGGGGCCCTCCCGACTGGATGTGTGACAATAATTAATGTCATTATAAAAAAAGAGAAGAAGAAGAAGAAGAGGGAGAGAAAGAGAGAGTGTGTGTGTGTCAGAGAAAGAGAAACAGAGGGAGAGGCAGAGACAGACAGACAGAGAGAGGGAGAGAGAGAAGAAGCTGCGAGAGGGAAAATAGTAAGTTGCACTTTATTAAGCGGTAAGACAGTGTTCTCTCTATATATCTATCTTATCTATCTATAATCTATATATATATATATATATTAACACACAACCAGACCTCGTTAGTCGGTTTAAGCACTCTTGTGTTTTGTCGTGCCTGGATTTTTGATTCATTTCAATTTTTATTCTATTTTGGGGGTTGTTTTTTTTTTGGGGGGGGGGGCGGGGTGGTGGTGATGGTGGGGGGGGGGGGGTTAACTTTTTTAAAAAAAGAAACTCAATGGTTCTTTGCGATTTCTTTTTCCCAACGCGAAAAAAAAATAGCGGATGTCTTCCTTTCCCCCAAAACTCGGGTTTGTTATTATTTTGTCGGGGTGGGGAAGGAGGGGGTGGGGGGGGGGGGGGGGGGTGGGGGTGGGGGTGGGCGGTTGGTTTGTTAACGGGAGAAACGGGTACTTGTGTTTACACAAGTGCGAGCGATGGGGTGTTATGTGTGTGTGACTTTTAGGACGTACAGACAGACAGATAGATGCTCATCACAAGGCAGATCGGCTGTCAGATTTGCTCCGAAAAAACAAAAAAACTACTTGCAGATACAAACTACTTGCTTTGCTGGATCTTTCGAGGGGGCGAAATAAATAGTTTGGTGTCCGAGAGACAGACAGACAGACAGACAGACAGACAGAGACAGACAGACAGACAGACACAGAGGGAGTGAGAGAGACAGAGAGACGAGGTTACGGCGCTGTCAAAGCCCCGCACTTCGCCGTGTCCCAGCGCTTCATTCAAGCGCTCACTTCACTACACACTCACTTCACTCACTCACTCACTCACGCACTCTCGTCTCTCGTGTTTTGCAAAAGGGGCCGATCGCTAGTTTGCAATTAACTGCTGTCTAATTAAGTTCATCCGAATAAGTTACACCAATATTTCCTCCTTGTTTTTTCGTGTACAATGTTAACCCAAACTGCGACTGTCCCCCCCCCCCCCCCCCCAGTCAGCTTCCTGCCCGTCTGAGTTGAAATTTATCATTCTCGCTTCTTTTTTTAAAAAAATATATCTACTATATCATATGCACGTCAGAAAAGTTGTTTTTGGTGGTGGTGGGGGGGGGGGGAAGGATCGACCCATCAACGTGCACGCGGTTTAGCTTTTTCTTTCTTTTTTTTTGGGTGGTGGGGGGGGGGGGTGGTGTAGGGTCGTTGTTTGGTTTATCTCTGCTGTTGCTGGTGTGGTGGTGGTGGTGGTGGTGGTTGTTGTTATTATTATTATTATTATTTTACCTGGGAATGTGATGTGTGACCGGCTGCTGGATGGCTGGGGAGCCGAGGGAGAAGGCAGCCGGGGCCGGACTGCACTGGCACATCGAGCCGAGGTCGGATGGCGGGCGGGCGGCGGCAGGTTGTGCGCTTGTTTCAGTCTGGTGCTGCTCTCGGGGCGATGAAGCTGGTGGTTTGGTGATGGTGAACCTCGAATGTAGTAGAGATACCGCTTCCCCTTTGGTATTTTCTGGACACACAGTCTGTGTGGATGTGTGTGTTGTGTGTGTGTGTGGATGTGTGGTGTGTGTGTCTGCACTCTCTCTCTCTCTCTGTGTCTCTCTCTCCTACTCTTTCACTTAATCCATCTCTCCTTCTACCTCCACAAGAAGCCTCTTCCCGTCCTGTCAGGAGCCGATTCTCTCTCTCTCTCTCTCTCTCTCTCACTCACTTTCTCGCTATCTCTCTCTCTCTTTTTGATATATATAAAAAAATCCTGCCCCAATGTCCCAAACGCCGGCTCAGACGCACACCTCTCTCCGTTTTCCATTCCGCTCGTCTTTCCCCCTTTTTCGTTTGTAAGACGGGGTCGGAACTCCCCCTCCAAAAAAAAAAAGACGGCAAAAAAAACAAACAACCAAAACAACTATACACCTCAGCTCCCCCTTTTGCTTTTTGCCCTGGCGAGGCTGTCCTGTGTGTGTGGTGTGTGTGGTGTGTGTTGTGTGGGTTGTGTTGTGTGCAATTTTTTTTTTTGATTATTGCAACTCGTATATGTTAGCCCTGCCTTTTCGTTTGGGGCAGACTTCTGCGATTGGGACACGACAGTGACATGCGGATCGATCGTTTAAACTCAGAGCAAACGCTGGGTATGTAACACACTATTCCCCTCATCACTGCAGTCAGCAACACTGTGTGTTGTGTGTGTGTGTGTGTGTGTGAGGGGAGGGGGGTTGGGGGGTGGGGGGAGAGAGAGAGAGAGAGAGGGGAGAGGGGTGTGTGTGGGGCCAAGAAATCCGACAGGAAAACTAGGCTTAAAAATAGAGAGAGAGAGAGAAAAAAAAAGCTTCACAAATAGCTCTGGGAACGAGACGTCCTTTCCCATCGGTTCCCTGTCCAAGTTGCTTTTGCGCAATTTCGTGTAGGTTGACTGTTTTATCGGGAAGGGCTCCTCCGTTATTTAAAACTCCCCAAGTCTCACCAGGACACACACACACAAGAAAAAGAAATAAAAGCGTTGAGTTTGACTTTATTTCTGTCTCTGTTCTTGGGGCCATAACAGTCAAAAAGGAGAAGGAGATATCTATATATATTTATATATTATATTTGTACAGCGACCGACCAGACGGGCGGATTAATAATCTTCAACTTTTTTTTTAATGGTGCATCCATTGGGTCTTTGCTGTGTTATAAATACACTCCTATATATACAGTATCCACTTACCTATTATATGGATCACACACACAATCACAAAGACACCGATCCAGGTTTGCGTAGAGAGCATTTTATACGAACCATTTTCGTTTTTACGCGTTTTCTTTCCTGGACAATATTCCTGAGGTCGTTGCTCAGTTATCCACCAGTGCCGATTACTAATGGAGAGACAATTTGTTTAAAGATTCCCCCTCTCTCCACCCCCACCCCCCCCAAAAAAAAACACACACAACAACCCACCTCATGTTTGTTCTTAATATTATTTTAGTCAGTGGAAATAATCAAATCTTTGAAGCTCTTAACAGCAGTGGCAAAAAAGGGAGAAAAAAGGCACAGGTTAACTTATTAAACGATATTCCTTTTGGAATGATTAACAATGAGATTTGTATAGATTATTATCATGCACTATTGTTATTGACTTTTTCCATGTTTTGTCCACAATTAAATTAGAACCGTATCCACTCAGATTTTGCAGTTTAGCGTTTTGCAAAACGGAGCAGGAAATATGCCCTTTTATGAGAGAGGGAGGGAGGGGAAAATGCTCTTAATTTTTGTATCGATATATTTTTTTAAAAAAACCTTATGTTGCAAAAAAAAAGGTTAATCAAATAAGAGAGGGTCTGGGTGAATCAGCTCATATATTCCATAATATTCTCTCGGCACTTTAACCATAGCTAAAATTTACACAATTAAATTAGATTATCCACAATAACAATATTACAGCTTGTCTTGGATAGAAGCAGAACTGAGGTGGCTTTGTTGATTGCAAGGGTTTAATGTTGCATTTCAGAATCAGATGTGGTTTAGCATCCGTTCCATTAACTGGGAAAAAACCCCTGAGGTTTTACAATTATTTCTTAAAGATAATACATTTAACATGAAATTGGTAGGCAGAGGAAAACTCATAAAGGCAAGAAGGAAAGCCCTTAATAACTCTTGAGATTCAGACATGTTCAGCAGTAAGATTGGTTCTGACTTCACCGAGGGTCGACAATGTGTCATTTCCATGAAGCCAAATTGCCCTCGCCCTATATGATATTAATGTGCAAATCAATATTTCAGGGATTAAATTTCCCTTCTTCATTTTTTATGGTTTCTACCTCAATAAGTCTCAAGTCTATTAGAAGGAGCTGGGTGATTTAAAATCCTTCACTGCAGAATGGCATGTTGCAGCCTTTCCTTTCCATGTCGTGCTTTTCTAACCACTGAAGTTATCCTGAGAAAGCTGCCAGTCTCCCTTAGCACATGCTCAGTTGTGTCTTTGACCTCTGATAGGTTAAAGGCCTGAGAAAGCCATATTCATTCTGTTGTTGGTCGTTGACCAAAATATTGTGTTAATCATATATTGATTTATTTTTAAAATCAATAATCACCTTTCCCGTGCTGATAGCAGATGCCAAATTATTTGGTGAATACTCAGAACAGTTGTCATTATTTTGATGATAAAAAAATCCTGTAGAATTGGAAAAATTCTAGATAAAGTTCACAAAAAACAATGTCTTATGAAAGCAGTAAGACAAGAAAATACAAATGTGAGTGTCTTGGTACAATAATTTTCTAGTCCTAATGGCAGCAGGATATTTGATTGTAACTTGTATTGAGGTGGCATCTTTTTGTTTGTTGCTTCTTTGAAGTGGTGACTACTTTTATTTTCAATATGTTTCCCTTAGATTTTTAGTTCTGGATTTATTTTTATATTTGCATACCTTATCTCTGAGATGTTGTTGCTGACGTGGACATGACGCCAGCAAATTTAATAGAGTTAGCACAAATGTGTTGGTAGAGACTGTTTATGTCAGACACTATAAATAGTGTGAATATGCTCAGTGACGCTCGGTTTGCATATATTTATCATTGGGTGAAGTCGTGCAGGTTTATTGACAGATCAAAACTGTCAAACGTGTGCAGGCTATTGCATTGTAACATGTGATTTTTTTTGTTGATTTTGAGAATTTGTATGTGTGTGTGCCTAAAGCAGCACAACTGCCCGATGCTGGATTTACTGACTGAGCAAGCTTCTCCAATCCAATACAAAGAAACAAAATTCAAAGCCTTCTTACAAAGAGCAAAATAAAAACAATTTGATTACTGTAGCTCTTTTGTGGACGTGTGAGTCTGGTGCTATTGTTGAAATTGTTAATGTTGATATCAACTCTTGAGCTAGTGTGTTTTTATGGGTCTGGCATTTTAAATCTAAATAAAGGCAAATGTGAAATTCAGCAGTGAAATCACCTGGTGGGTAAATACTTCACATTCTGACCTAAAAAGTCTGTGTCATGTCAATCGTACCATAGCTTATTTCAACGTGTGTGTTTTTATATATAAATGGATAGATAACATATT